AGCCTGTAGCTTGGCCCTGCCCCCTGCACAGCACTCCCAGAGACCTGGGAGCTCACTGGCTTCCACAAACGAATTCCCAGCTCCCCCGACTGTGCTCCCCCATTATCTACCAGGAGAACAGTTTGCCCAAACTCAGTGTGAAACTGCAGAGGCTCAAGGCTCACACAGTCACTTGGCTATACCTACAAATCGTTTCAAAAACACACTCTCAAGGTGTCTTAAGAAAACATCACTCAAGAAAGCCTGGCATGAAAGCTCAGGACTCACTGGGAACTGAACAGTATTCCCCCAGCTCAACCATTTTGGATGTATCTCTTGAGAGAGACAAGGCTTTGCCAACAGAAAATCTCCCAGCAAGTTATCGGTGTCTTACCTCTTTCTCTGAGTACAGGGAACAGGCAACAATGTCCAACAGTTTCTTTGTTTCAGCCTGGAACTCATGTTTAGAGGCTGCACCTGGAATGAAGGTTAGGGTTGGGGTTGTTCAGCTTGGAGAAGAGAAAGCTCAGGGAGTACTTAGAGCCCCTTCCAGTGCCTAAAGAGGCTTCAGGAGAGCTGGAGAGAGACTTTGGACAAGGGCCTGAAGTGACAGGACAAGAGGGAATGGCTTTACACTACCAGAGGACAGGGATAGATGGGACATTGAGAAGAAATTTCTCCCTGTGAGGATGCTGAGGCCCTGGTACAGGGTGCTCAGAGCAGTTGTGGCTGCCCCTGGATCCCTGGAAGTGTCCAAGGCCAGGCTGGATGAACACATCTGTACAGCCACCCCTGCAGGTAGGGAGCTGTACCCAGGAAGAGAAGCCTCCTCAGAAAAAATAGAACTACAAAACACCTCAGCTGAAAGACCATCCTTGGCCTTTGAAAAAATAGGAAGAGACATTAGAGAAATCCTTTCTTCATTAAGAAGCATTAGAAAACTCTGGGAAAACACAGGGAAAAGCCAAAAGTCCCACATCACCTCTGCCATGCCTTGCTGACGAGGATGTACATCCCACAGGGATGTGGGCAGGCAGCACATCAACCCCAGCAGGAATTTCACAGCCTGGCAGTCTCAGAAGTACCTCCCAGGACAACCACAGAGACACAGAGTTAAGATGTTATTTTGGTGCTGGAATAACTCATTGCTCAGACTGCTTTAGAGCACCTCTCCCTGAAGCTGTGCAAAGCAATTCATTCTAGCTAAAGAGCTGACAGTGGGACTCTCATCACATCTCCATGATCCACAGCAACGACCTGGGCAGGCATGGCTTGCTCCTGGCACAGAAAATTATTTTCAGCCAATTCCAGTGCCTGTGGAGCCTCCACACATACACATGACCATCACCTGCCTGGCTAAGCCCATGGATGCAGTCTTGATGTCCTTGTTTCCCAGTAAAGGCCATTCTGACCTCCACACCCAGGTTTTGGGAGGTGATGGTGCAACATGGAGGGAAAGGATGTGGTGACCAATACCTGCACTTCCTCCAGAGGCAGCAGCACTTCTGAGGAGGGCTCACCTTGACCCAGGTGCAGCCCAAGAGTGTCCCCACAAGAAATCTGTGCCCAGGCCCACCTTTCACATTCTCTGTGTTGCTGATGATGGTGTGCAGGGGCTCCTCCTCCTTGCTCTCTGCTGTTTGCGTGCTGTACATCCGGACAGCAGGAATGCTGGAGGCAGGAATGTTGTGCTGAAGGCTCCAGCGGTGGAGTATTTGTCTTTGCAGACATGCTGCTCCTTTTACTAAAAACACAAGTGAAGATATTTCAATACACATCACAAGTCCAGCACCAACAGGAGCACTCCTCAGAGGTCCCACCTAGAAATCCCATGGGAGTTACACTGTCTGAACAGTTCCCTTACAATCCAACACCCATCATTCCCCTCCAGAGTTGCCTTCACTGCATAAAAAGGGCAAATTGCTACTTTGGCTCTTCTGAATTAAAATTTTATCCAGAAGATGACAATTAGCAGCTTTCCCACTGAATTAACCAGTGAGGAAGAGGCAGTCTGCAGCTTTCACTGCTGTTACCTGGCTAAACTGAAGATAACTCCCACATCACTGCCTGAAAATACAAATTGGCAATAAATATTTGGCCCTTGAATGTCCAAGCACAGCGATTACATCCCCCAACAAAGTTGGCTTCAGGGCAAGCAGCAGCAAGGTCACCAGTCACAAAATCAGGGGGGAAAATGAGACCAGTCAGGAAATGGCACAAGCCCTCTTAAAGGTCAGGGATTCCCAATTCTCCACCTTTCATTATGCCCAGGTGAACCCAACAGTCTTCTCTCTGTTGGGGGATGAATCAAAGCCAAACCTGGTCACTAAAAGACCATTGCAGCACTAGAGACCTCTGTCCAAAGCCTGTTCCTTGGAGTGATTTCTGAATTGTTGGAAGAATGGTCTGTCCCAGAGCAGGATCCCAGTGGGTCTGGACCTGACCTTGCAGCTGCCCTGGGCAAGGCAGCATCTTGGCCTCCCCAGTCCTACAATGAACATAAACAGACTGGACTGATCTGGGAAGCACAGGAGGGACCAGGGCAGCCTGGGCAGAGCCAGGAGAACACAGATGAGCAGCAGAAGTGGCTGGAAGCAGTGACAAGCTCAGGTTTTCCTTACAGCTCGCTCTGTGCCTTTTGGCTGTTTCACTCAGCAAGAGAAGGAGGCAAACCCTACACCTGACATTTTCAAGGGGTCCTTTCTTTAGATGACTGGGTACAAAAACACCCAAAGACTGAACCAAACCCCATTAGTATAGTGAGAGTCCCAAAGCACATCCGTGACCTTGGAAACAGCTTCCATGGCCATCCCCTACCCTCCAGGCCAGCTGACATGTTGGGGGAGCTCAGCTTTCTCCTGAAGCTTCCTCCACCTTGCCACAGCTCTCGAGTGAACTCAGCACTCCAGCCTTTTCACCAACACCCCTCATCCTCTAGCTCAGGCTGACTTCACAAGTGCTCTGCAAACCTCCTGCCTCCCATAGCAGGTCCTACAGTCAGTGTGGTCATCAAGAACAGGTCTTGCTGCTCCAGACCATCATGCTGGGCTCTCACTTGCTCCAGACAAGGTGAACATGAACCCCTGAACTTTAACAGCACTTCTGTCTCCTGCATCTCACCCTCAAGAGCTGACAGAGGAGGCTGTCAGTCCTCGTTCTTCCTCCTCCTCCTCACAGAAAGCTTTGAATCAAGATCCGCTTCTCCAGCCAGAAGCCTGAATGACTCTCCAGTCATTCTGCCCTTAAAGGAAAGAGCCCACAAATAGTTCTAAATGCATCTGAACACCTCCCACACACATAACTGTGCTCTCTGCGTCACAACCAGCTCTGCCGCATTATCGAAGGACACGTTCTGGAACTTCCATTCCACTGCCTGTGCTGGGATCATTTGGGAAAGTGGCAAGGGAAACAACCTGGGTGGCTGAGGTGGAAAGCAGCAGAGCATTCACTCCAGCCCCTCAAGCTTCAGAGGGAAAGGGCCTGCAGCTCAGGGTTTATATAATTTATGTATTTACATCTTTCATACTCATTTTATGCTGGGTGCTCTAGGATACTGCTTTATACATAAGCTCTATGATCAGATGTCCAGGCAGCAAAGCTCCAGAGCCCCCACAGAGGTCACCTCTCAGCCCATGAACACCAGCTGACTCCAGAAACTACAGCTATTTATTTCTGGGTATTTATAACTGTTGATGTATTCACATTTTTTGCCTCCCTACCTCCAAAGCACAATAATAAATCACCCATCAACTCGGAAGCTACTGTCGGATTTGTGCAATACGTGGTCTTATCATCCTTAATTAACAGCCTGTCCCATGCCAGGGAGAGACACAGCTCATTAAATACAAGCTGCAGCATCTTCAGCCCATTTGCCTCTTGAGAGTCCTTGCCTGGAGCAAGGGAGCAAAAAAGGCTCCTGGCTATTCTGGGTATAAAACCACAATTATCAGCACACAAGAGCTGTTGAGAAGCACCTGCTGAGGTAACAGGTTATGTGCTACTCATAATGAGCCTCAGAAACAAATTCCTAAGCCCAGGCAACAGAGAAGGAATGGCTCTTGCCCCAGATAAACTCTGTGATGTGTTGAGGCAAATCAGGTCTTTTGATATTGAGTTAATCAAATGTGGAGCTTTACCACAGCCCACACCCCTTCCTATTCCCATCACTGCACCATGAGAGATGGAAAAACCCACATTACTGCCCAAATTCCACTTCTCTGTGATCCCAAGTGATCCTGTGCCCACAGACCTGTCTCACAAAGACAAGGACCCTCAGGGGCTCCTTTCAATCCAGACATCAGGAAGCCTCTGTGATGCCCCAACCAGCCCCACCAGGAAACACAGCCTCTTCTGGAAAAACCACTGCACTGAGCAGAGCACCAGCTGGAGATTTAGGGTGGGAAACCCTGCACAAAGCAGTCTGTGGCTCAAAACAAAAGAGAAGAATTTGGGTCAGCAGGAATTACCATACCAGCTCCAGGCCGGGGAAGGCTCGTGCAGGGAAGAGCTCCAGCAATTAACACTCCCAGCTCAGGTCTCTTTACACAAAAGGGCTCCCTAGCCGGGCATCAGATCCCCGAGAATCTGGGGAGAAGAGAATCCCTGACTGACCCACTCACACCTACACATCCCCCGAAAAGCTCTGCAGTAGCTCCAGCCTCTGAAACTGGGAGAGCAGAGAGGAAGCTCTGCCATCTCTGCCCGACGGGGGAAGGGACGGCTGATCCCTGGATCCAACCGAAAGGAAAACACCTTCTGCCCCTCCCTCTTTATCCCCACCCCACACAGCTTCTGCTCACTACCTTTTCCCTGAGGGACCTGAATGACAGATTAAAGAATAAAACTCTGACTCTGCTGGAGTGTGTCTAACCCACCAGAGCAGCAGCTTTGTTCCCAGACATGGATGCTAACAAGCCTCTGGGGATTTCTGTGGAGGAAGAACTGGATTGCCCAAAAACACCCAAGTGGCACTCCACGACACAATAAATCTGACAACCCGACCCTGAAAGTGACCCTATTTGTCACACAATTTCCTCTGTCACATCTTCTCTTCGTAACCTGCAGGGAAACCGCAGACCACACCAACAACACACAGATCTGTCAATTAGGGGGCACACAACGGATAAGGACACACGGAGCACAGCACAGGCTGCTGCCAGGAGACAGACGGGACACTCCTCATCGTGCTTCAGTTAATGGCAACTCACAGGCACATTTCCAGCCCACGAGGGCCTTGTTAAAGGAACACATCCCCTAACTAAGGCCTCAGAGTTTGGATTTTCTTAACGCTCCTGTCAGTTGAGTGCCTTTTAGTGCACCCCTGAGAAACGCAAACCCTTCAGGCTCATGTGTAAAATCCCCTGGTACTGACACAGCCAGAGAACAGCAGCGCTGCTGCCTTCTGCTCTCACGCAGGTACCTGGGCTGTGCACCCTGTGTGAGCTGGGACGTGCCCCGGGACATGATACATGATCTGAATATGCTGTGCAGCCCATAACAATCCAGGTACTTCTGGATGTTCTGTACACCTTATACAGGCAGGAGATGAGGTGGGAGTGCTTTATGAACCAGGACATAAACGTGGATATGTCATATACCCCTACACGCGTCAGGACATGAACCTCACCATGCTACACCCTGTTCCATGCTGCACACCCTGGATGAGGCAGGACATTACCCTGGAGCCGCTGTTTGCCCTGACCGCGCTGTCTGCCCGACACGAGCCCGCGCTGTTCCCTGTGCAGCTCCACATTAACTCTCCCCTCCCCAGGCAGGAGCGCTGGGCGCTGTCGGCTCAGATCACGGTGCGCTGTGCGCGCTGCTCCCGAGCTGCCGGGCCGGCGTCC